CGGCGGCGCGGGGCGAGACGCGCCGTGCGCGCGGGGTGGGCGGCGGGAAGGCGCGGGAGAGAGGGAGGCGGGGAGGAGGATGGGGACGGGGAGGAGGAGGAGGAAGGAGCCGTGCCCGCCTGCTGCCGGCTTTGGCTCCGCCTCCGCCTCCTCCCCGCCTCCGCCGGACGCCGGGGCATGCGCGCTGCCGACCAGGAGCGCGAGAGGCGAGGCGGGAGCGCGCCCACCGCCGTGCCGCCGCCGCCCGCGGCGGGGGGGGAGGAATTGAGAGAGAGAGCGCGGCGTGCCGGCTGACGTCACAGAGCTACGTCACAGAGCTACGTGCGCCTCGCCCCGCCCCGCCCCGCCCGGGAGCGTGGCCGTGGCTGTAGGAGACGGCCCCGGGCGGGGGTTTCCCGCAGGCGGAGGAGGCGGTCACCGGTGGGCAGGGTCGGGGCGCTCACGGGCGCCGAACGGGCTCTTCCTGAGCGCCCCGGCCGGGCGCTGCCGGAGGCGTACGGCCGTGGCCGGCGCACGGGGGCAGCTTTCCACGGGCTGTCGCAGCCCACGCGTGGGCCCTGGTGGCACAGCAGCCTAGCAGTCCAGGGTGCCGCCCGGCCTGCTGGGGTGGGGGTGGGTTCCTTCTCCTAGATGGCGGCGTGGGGAAATCGGTCCTGCTTGTTGTGAGCTGTGCTGATCTAAAATCAGTGATTTTTATTTTTTTTTTTATGTGCTGTATGTGTGTATGTGTTTGTAAAGTGTACTGTGCAAAATAATCTTTGTGGAACTTGTGGCTTGAAACACCTGTGTGTCATGGACTTACAGAATGGTTCATGTTGGAAGGGACCTTCAAGATCATGTAGTTCCAACCCCCCTGCCCTGGGCAGGGACACCTCCCACTAGAGCAGGTTGCTCAAAGCCCCATCCAGCCTGGCCTTGAACACTTCCAGGGATGGGGCATCCACAGCTTCCCTGGGCAACCTGTTCCAGCGTCTCACCACCCCCATAGTGAAAAATGCCATCCTGATATCTAGCCTAAGTCTACCCTCATCCAGTTTGAAGCCTTTACATTAAGGGCAGTAATTTATTTTTTTTTTAAGACTTTTTTTTTCTTTTAATGTTCCCACAGGAAGTGGAAAATACATGGATTCACACAAGTACGATGTTTTTCATAAGGGTAGAACATCTACGGCTGTAAAATTCAAAGTTGCTTCAGATGAGTGTTCTGAGTAATTAAACATTTCTTAAACGCAGTTTCTGCCATGATCTCCTGATAGTCTAAGGCAAGAGTATATTGGGACATATATTTATGGGCCTCTAAACACCTAATCTGAATAGAACGGCTAGAATTGGAACATATGGCTCTATGGGAAATACACCACAGAAATCGTTAGAAAGGCTTTTTTGCCTTTTTTTTTTTTTTTTCCCTGATGTGTCTTCTAAAGCTCTTTTTCCTTGTTTGTCGGAGAGATGTCTCCTGAGACCCCAAAGCTCCAGGTGAATGGAATTGCAGAGTGCTGCAAGCGTAGCATGCCCTGCAGAAGTACGGGGCAGGCTGCTGGCTGGAGAAGGCTGCTGTTGTGCTGTGGAGCAGTGGCTGCTCTGTAGCTGCTGTTCGGATAATGCCCCTGTCACCTGCGACGTGGGCTGGTAGTTCCTACTTGCTAGTACAACACAGTTTCAACTATTAGAACAAAACACTTAAAGGCAGCTTCCTGATTTATCATGTAGAAGAGAAATCTTCTGAGAGCACTGCTCTCAAGATGCCCTCAGAGAGTTGGATAACTTTATCACTTTGAGGGGAAAACTGGAAAAAGAAGTTGAGATATGTATTATCTTCCCCTTGCAGAGATTTTATGACCAGAAACAAAACTAAGGATGACAGTAAATCTCATTGTAAAAATAAAAGTTGGTCTACTAGTAGCCCTGGAGAGTAATTTGAACCTGCCTTAAAATGGCAGGGAAGAGGACAATCACAGAACAGTTTCAGCTGAAAGCCGTTAACTTCTCTGGCTTTTTCCAAGGTAAGTCTCAAAAAACAGAGTCATTTTTCAAGAGGTACATCGACAAAGTTTGTCTCAAAGGTAAGGGGCCCCAGAGGAATGGGAAATGGACAGAATTCCCTGCTAAGGTTTTTCGCCTATCCGCTCTTCTCGTGGTTATTAACTTGTGTATATAAGCTGTCTTAGAGAAGCAGTATTTTTCATAGAAGACTCAGGCCAGTAGAGTGCATGAATATGTAATAGTATCACATTTTTAATAGAGTTCTGCAAAGCTGAGAGGCCCCCCAGTTTCCCAAGCCACAGAAAAATTCCCTCTGTGACCTGATAGATACTCACCAGAGATTTCTGACTTCAAACCTAAGACTTCTGGGACCATCTATTTGCCTCCGTGTCACTGGGACATGCTCCCACTATGTAGTATCTTAGAGAAAATAGGTGGCCCTTAAAACATAATTTTCTTTTTTTTTTTTTTCTTTTTATTTGACCTAAGTGTACCTATAGGATCTAGGTGTCTTGTGAGATCAAAACCAAAAATGCAGCAACATTGCCCCAAAACAGAAGAGAACTTTCAATTTAAGTTGCTGGTTATGAATTTCATTTCCAGTTGGCTGATCGTACTCTCCGTCAGAGTAAACCCTCACATAATTAAAAAAAAAAAAAAAAAAGGAAGTAGCCACACATTTTTCTTAATTCAGAAGACTGTTCTTGAAAACTCATAAAAAGCTGATTCTACCTCCTATTTTGGAGATTAGCTTGTCCTTTAAGAGCTTGGTACCTTCAAGAATACTGTGATGTTCACACAAGCTGCTCTGGAGACCTTTTCTAACTTGGGATGGTTGGAATATCGGGGATCTGTAGAAGTAGACGACTCCCAGGGTAGCCTCAGCATTCTACTGGGAGCGCCAAAGGGTACTTGCATCCTTAGGAAGCACAGCCTCAGAAGGAGGAGATAATTTTGGACCCGACTTGCTTCGCTCAATAGCATCCCAGGTAAGCTGCACTTCTGAGGGCAAGTTTGCTTTGAGGGAGAGATGCTTTTAACAAAGTTTTTTCATGCCAACATCCTCATTGTAAGCCAATAGGTAGAGCAGAACCATACACCTGCCACTGTTCCTCGTATTTTGTGAATTGCTCAAGGGTTTAGGCACCTGGACCTTGGCAAGTGAGAGTGCAAATCTGAGCTGTGGAACAGTGGTAGTGGGCTTAGCAGGAAAATTGGTATATTTTTGTATTAGTATTAAATGCCAGGTAGTTCCAACATGGGCAGTGTTACAGTAATCTAGTTACAATGAAGAAAATATGTAATTATATGTATTATGTGACCTTTATGTGACTGAAATGTCCACATTCTTAAGCAGATAAAAGTAATCTACATTACCTGAACAGCGCAGAGCAGGCCTTGATTTAAGGCACACTGAGTTGAGAACATCTGTGAGCATGGTGGACAAGCGCCTCAGCTAGGCTGTCTGTGTTGCTCCTAGTCAGTGCTTCTCAGTGTCTTTCCTTGTCCTGATGGCGTCTCAGTCTTGTCCAGACTCATTTTAGCTTTCAGAACTTAATGGGCTCCCAAAGACAGG